ATCGTACTGGAAACTGTTTCTTTTGAGGTGTGTCAGTCGTGTAGGTGACAAAGATGACAAACATTGAAAGTTTTACGATGAACAACGTAAACATTTAATGAAATCATGGTCAAGAAACAATAAACTAAAAAAAGTTTGCCTACCTATCAGGCGCGAAAGACCAAAATTAAAGATCGCCGTAATTCTTTACTGGTGCATTTCCGGACACGGATTCCCATGCTCAAAATACTTGCCTATGGGACCTCTACTTACCCTATGATTTTTGCCAAAGTTATCGTTTACATCCTGTATATTCTACGAGCTCCTGATAAAAAAATAGTTCGAAGTAATCGTTAATTTTTGACGATCTTCCCATTTTCTTCTTGTGTCCTGAATTTTTTGAGGAAAATTTATGAATCCTTGGTGCGAAATTTTTCGATGTCCATTGTTTTAAGTAGGACGGGTTCTACAGTAACCTGAAGATGATGATTATTTAACACAGTTTATTTTCGCGTCGGCGTGCCTTCGCGCCATCTTAAAACAAAAGCCACGCGCCACGCTACCAACTTCCCTGCTGCCTTGTCCCGTGCTCCCCACTCCAACCTCGGCACTCCGTCCAATTCACATGAGCCTCAGCCCGATACACACTGGTTTTCCGACCGATCCGACAGTCCATGTTGTGTTGCACTGGGTGTCCTTTTATATTATCGTATTATCGTCAATTAACTCTGCTTCTGATTCTGAAGTGCTGCATATATTATTTCTCCGTCGTCTTTTACATCGGTGGACATTATTTTCATTTTCAGAATCGGTTACTTCAGTTTCAAACATAATATTATTTTTATGCTTTGTATTCATTCTGAAAGGGCCTAAACTATTTTTGTAAATACATTTTCAAACAAAACCCTAACCTGAACATTCTAATTTTTAAGAGTTAAGAATTATACCTTAAGCCGATCTATTCCTAATTCCTGTAAAAACCAAATATGTAAAATCGTTTACTGCCGAATGGATTCGATAGAATATATGGTATAAAACAGTAAACAATCGCCTTGATGTTTGTAGTTTATTGCGTAATACGTTTAGATATGGTTTTAACAAAGAGCAGTTTTAAAAAGTTTTAAGAAATGATTAATCCAATATGTCAATAAAATCAACGGAGAATGCTCTGCCGATAACGAAAAATATTGTCATTGACTATAGATGGTACTTGTACAGATCATTTCGATGCCGCATATATGCGGCGCCCGTACCTACAGGTCGTCGAGTGGATGCCGCATACATATATGCGGCGCTCGGCGCGAAAGGGATAAAGCAGAATAAGTGTGACGAGCTGTGATCGGCTACATCGGTAGATCACAGGCATACGCCGTATGCGCGCTTGCCGCGTCACGAAATCCATGTATTTGAACATTTACCGGTTTGTCTCTCGCGATTAGCCGCGGAATTGAAATCTCCTCAATGAGATGGAGTTACACCTCGAAAACGTTGCACGCGTTGTGTACACTTAATGGGTTCGATTCGTCCCAATCGATTTTCAGTTGCCATAATGCCTGCATGAATATTTTTGCCTTGACTATTACCGGACCAAGAAAACCCAATGGGTCAAAGAGTTTGGCGACGCGTGATAGTATGATCCGTTTCGTGATTTGATTACGTGCGTTACTACGAGTAACTATATATTTAAAAACGTCCTGTTCGGGATGCCATGATAAACCTAACGTTGTCTATTCCTTGTCGCATTGAAATGTAAGTGCGGATGGGTCGCTGCTAGTCGCCGACGCACAATGGTACCGTTTTCCGAAAATGCGCTAAAAACCATTTTCTGACTGATCACATACAATATCTTACGAGGTATTGAAGATATCAACAAAATGTTTCTACAAAAGTGAAAATCGAACGATGACGAGTATACACGTCGATCACAGAGTAAGTGTTGCTGTTAAAATATTAGATCAGAAAGATGGGTTTATTTTATAAAACTGACAATTTTATTACTAATATTTACTTATTTGGTTAACATAAACATATATTACATACATATTAAACGAAAAACGCAAGAAAAATTAATCGGCCTTCAATGGTCTCTCAGCGCCTGGTCAGCGTCACGCATTTGTCCCGTGGCGGACTATTCCTGAAGGAACCCTATCATAAATCAGTTTCCCGACTTTTGCTTTTGCCGCTTTTACGCTAACATTTAAAACACCTTATCATCGCTGTTAACTCCGTAGGTGGTTCGGGGAGTTAATTATGTAGCAAATCAATGTCTTCTTCATTTACAAAAACAACAATTTATTCAAAACAAAGAAAAACAATATTTACTATATCGATCACTTGTAAAGTGCTCTAGTAAAGCCGTGTCCCCACTGGGTCGGCAAAGAAATGGCTTTGCCGCGGTGCATAGCAGTGGCAGGGCCGTGCCGCCTTGTGCCGCCTTTTCCGCCTTTTGCCGAACGCTGTGCCGACCGCTGTGCCGACCCAGTGGGGACGCAGCTTAACAGTTCACATTTAAAAGGAATATGACTTGTAAGGTGATATCCTTGATAATGCCCACGTTTAAGAAGTACAGTTCTCTTGTTCGCATCCGGTGCGAAACCAAGTTCTTTGAGAACACCGAATTCTGGAATTCAACCCATTTTGCCTTGTCCCGGCCTCGTAGCCCAAGAGGAAACCTCCGAATCTCCCTCTTGGTGTCTCCTTGGAGGCGTCTATGTTCGGATTGGGCCTCGTCTTGCCCAATCCGAAATTTGGACAATTTTTGGATTGTGCAACGCCCACAACCTGGTTTGTTTCATACTGCAAATCAAGGTCTGCAGGACGTTGCACAATCCTTGGGTTAATTTATTACCCATTCTTGTTCTTACGGTCCTAGTCCTGGTGGTCAACACGTGAGGGTTTGCGTTACATCAATTGCCGTCGAGGGTGGTCTAACCGGGGACCGTTTCCAGAGAAATCTGAAACCGGCATCCGGCCAGACCTAGTCCTTTAGAAATTGCATGCAGTCCGTGAAAAATTGTGACTCAAAAACGGCACTGTTCATTGTCGACTGCAGCGGAAACCCTTCACGTGGCGGCAACTGTTCCGACCGATGCGGAACACCTTTTGCGATGATTCTCGAAGGTCCGTTTATGACACGGACGGGAGTGTTAGTTTATTTCGCGTTTAATGACCAAGAATATTTTAGAGTTTATTTTTCTATTACCGGCAATCTCATTTTCGCGATAGTAAAGTTTATTTCAGTCACTTCGAGTTTTTCCATTTATTTTAGCCTTTAGAATTTCGTTTCGTTTAATAACCGACCGAATCATAAACCTGGAGCGGCCGAAGGGTCGGCCAAACCATGTGCGTAACGGTTGTTGCCGGGCACGGTCAACCTGGAGGCATCCTTGGCTGCATCGCTGGGCCTTCGAGAGCACCCCCATGCGTCCCATTGCCCTCACCCCCGCTCTATCGGGGTTGGCAAAAGGGCGTTAACATTAGTCAAAATTGTAGCCTAAGATCCTGATTGGGGATACACACAACCAATCCACTCGCGTGGAAAATCTTCGAGGTTTCTTGCGCGGACCCCGGACACTCTCGAGCAGACTAAACCAAATTCGCAAAGAAGACACATCAACCATAGTCTCAATAAATAGTCGTGCTCACCAGAGCGTATACAAATCAAAGTTACAGTCCACATACATTTTTTGATAGGACTTCAGAATTAGCTGAAGATTCCTCCACGTCGTTTAATCGTCGCTAAAATAATTGTCGACGCTGCGACGCATAAACATTTTTGGTCCTTCGAGCCGGATAGTGGTTCCGGCTACAATATACAATATCGCGCTTGAGTTGGACAGTGGTTCCAGCTATTATACAATATTGTACTCCATTTGGGGAGACATTGGGCAAAGACCAGTGGACGCTAATCCAGGAAGCAGATTCAGAAGGCGAATTCACGAGAAACCAACGAGCCAACGACGTTCCTGCACGAACGACAGCAGCCAAGCGAAGCAGTGAGTGGTAGTTGGAGAATCATTCGACGACGGTGATCAATCGTCATACAAGAAGCAGAAGGAGTGCATCAGCATCCTATCAGCAGCTGAGCAGTATCGCATCTAGCGTCCAGAGACGGCAGTATCGCAATAATCTGTATCGGTGAGTGCTAACGATTCACTTTCCAATTAATCTATCCCATCCACTTGTTTCGATCTCGATAATATGACACCCTCGTTAGAATCTGCTGACCTTAAAGCATTGAGAAGGCGTCGCGCCGCGGTTAAGGCCCAACTAACGCGTTTAAAGTCATTCCTCGCAGAGCAGCGCGAAATCTCGATCGCTGTATTGGAAATTCGCTAGTCCAAATTAGAGCAAATATTCAATGCCTTTTCGGAAGTGCAAGTAGCTATTGAAATAGCAAACGAAGAATCTGACCATACGCCGGAATGGGAGTCGTTCGAAGAATATTATTATAGTGCCGCGGAAACAATCAGCGAGCGGTTGAAAGAACAACGCGGAATTAGCGGAACCGTGTCCGCAAATCGAGTAGTAGAATCGCCAAATACAGTTAGACAAACTAGTTCACTTTTACGCAAGATAGAAATTAAGCCATTCGACGGCAATCCCGTAGAGTGGCATAGTTTTCATGACACCTTTAAGTCCCTAGTGCACGATAATGACGAGTTGATCGGTGTGCAGAAGTTTCATTTATTAAAAAATGCGCTTCGTGGGGAGGCTATCGCAGTAATTAAAGCATTGAACGCGACAGAAGGAAATTATTTGGTGGCTTGGGATTTGTTATGCAAGCGATGCAACAAACCCAGAAAAATTATAAACGCACACTTGCGATTGTTGATCGATCTTCCGGAGATCACTCGAGACACCCGGAAACCTCGGACAGTTAGCAGAGCAGGCTCAAGTACACGTAAACGCATTAAAGGCCATAAATCAACCAACCGAGCATTGGGATGCATTTTTAATACATATCGTGTCTAGTAAACTAGATAAGAATACTCGCCGCGCATGGGAGCGTACATTAGAAGATGAGGAAATTCCCAAGTTTAAACAGTTCTTAGATTTTATCAATAAATATGCGCGCGGGGATGATCTTGGAGCGGATATCTTAAATTCTTCTAAGACAAACAACACTCATGATAGGTTGCGCCCCAAGACTCAGGTTCGCAATCATTCGTACATATCAACGAACGAGCAACAGCAAAATTGTGTAATGTGCAAGGGGGAACACCCAATTTATTCATGTACCCGGTTTCTGCAATTGTCCGCTCGCGATCGTTTAAACATAGTTAAGAAGGCGAGACTTTGCATAAATTGTTTACGTCCGAACCATGTCGTGATTAATTGCCGATTAGGAAATTGTCGTAAATGCGACAAGAAACATCATACGTTGCTTCACTTTCCGACCGAAACACCAGTCGGGACGAGCCAAATCTTATCCATCCCATCAACATCCGCGGAAGGCATTAAGACCACCTTGACCGCGTCGTTCGATTCGGAAGTATTGCTCGGCACCGCTAGAATCACGATTTTAGACAAGCACCATAAGCAGCACGCGTGTCGCGTATTATTAGATAGTGGCTCGCAAACCCACTTTATTACGCAGAAACTCGCGGAAAGGCTGCAATTGAAGCAGAAAAACATAGATCTGTCGTTTTCCGGTTTAGGGCAACTCAATACAAATGCGAAGTATTTAGTTCAAACCACGATAAAATCGCAAACTAGCTCATTTAATGCAGAGGTAACATTTATTGCCTTACCTTCGATTACGGGGAGGTTGCCGTTGCGCCAGGTCAACCTGAGCGATTTCCATATACCGAGGCACGTACAATTGGCAGACCCAGAGTTTCACAAACCAGGGGAGATAGATGCACTTATTGGTAGTGCGTTGTTTTACAAATTATTAGAAACGGGTCAGATTAAACTACATAGACCCTCCGTCATATTGCAAAATACGCAAGTAGGTTGGATAGTTACCGGCGAGGTAAATAATCAGATAATCAGCAAACAAGGTAGAGCAAGTCAAGTGTGTCATGTGGCTACGTCTCTTGATGCCGAAATTAGTAGATTTTGGACAATCGAAGAACTTCCGGAGAAAACTTTCTTGTCCGCGGAAGAAAAGGAGTGCGAGAATCACTTTAGAGAAAACACAACACGTAACGAACGCGGACGATATATAGTTAGGTTACCGTTCAATCAAAACCGGGATCTTCTCGGCAACTCGAAGATAATGGCTTTAAAACGATTTTATAGCTTAGAGCGCAAGCTCCAGTCGAACTTAGAGTGAAAAACACAGTATACAGAATTTTTACGCGAATATTTAGAATTAGGGCATATGACGGAGATAGCGAACGAGCAGGATAGCGTAGGGTATTATCTACCTCATCATGCAGTGATAAAGGAAGCAAGCTCGACCACAAAGGTTAGGGTAGTATTTCACGCCTCCGCGAAAGGTAGTTCCGGTCTGTCATTGAATGATACTTTGTTAATTGGCCCGACAATACAAGATACATTGTTTTCGATACTTATTCGATTTCGTCAGCACGCGTTTGTTCTCATAGCCGATATGGAAAAAATGTATAGGCAAATTATAGTTCATCCAGACGACAGAAAATACCAAAGAATCCTATGGCGCGAATCGACGGCGGAAGCAATCAAAACATTTGAATTGAATACGATCACTTACGGCACCGCTCCTGCACCCTTCTTAGCCACGCGTTCATTGAATCAATTAGCTAAAGACGAAGCAAAAAATTTCCCTGTAGCGGCAGAAATATTTACACGCGATTTTTACATGGATGATTTGCTTACGGGAGCAGACAGTTATGAAACAGCATTAGACATCAAGCAGCAATGCGTCGCGTTAGCTAGAGCCGGAGGTTTCCATTTGCGACAATGGACCTCCAATGACACAAGGTTGATTGCTGATTTGCAACTTAAAAATCAGCAACAATCATTATGTCTAGATCCGTCACAAACAAAAAAGACACTAGGCGTATATTGGAATCCAGCGAATGATCAAATTAGTTATTCGTTCAAACAAATATCGCTAGAGCAATCTCGCATTACCAAAAGAGTGCTTCTATCACAGATTGCACAATTGTTCGATCCAATCGGTTTGCTTGAGCCAGTAATTATCAAGGCAAAAATCGTAATGCAGCAATTATGGAAATCGGCTGTCGACTGGGACGAACCTGTTCCCCAAAGAATAGAACAAGCGTGGATAGAGATAAGAAACGAGTTACATTTACTCAATAGCTTTACACTTCCGCGTCGAACCGCCATACAAAATGCAGCATCGCTCGAACTGCATGGGTTCAGTGATGCTAGCGAAAGCGCATATGGTGCATGTATATATATCAGGTCCACTAACGAACGTGGACAACACGCAGTAAATTTATTATGTGCAAAATCAAGGGTTGCGCCCTTGAAAACAATATCGCTACCGCGTCTCGAACTTTGCGCGGCCAGGCTCCTTGTAAAATTGTACAAGGAAGTTAGGAAGGCATTGCATAAGATAGAGTTTAAACAAGTTAGATTTTGGTCCGATTCCACCATCACGTTACATTGGATAAAAACACCACCACATCTATTAAAAACGTTCGTTGCCAATCGGGTGAATGAAATACAAACGGAAGCTCGTCCGAACAAGTGGTTCCATATCGCAACAGCAGATAACCCTGTAGACTTTGTTTCGAGAGGACAACTTCCCTCTCAGCTGTTGGAGAACACAATGTGGAAATTCGGCCCACATTGGTTAGGGTTAGATGAATCTCGCTGGCCGGTCACTCACTTAGATGCAATAGAAATTCTAGAGAAAAGACGCCCCATAACTCTAATTACGCAACCATCCGTAGAGTTGCTAAATAAATACTCATGCATTGATCGATTGAATAGAATTCTAGCATATATCCTCCGTTTTTGTAACAATGCAAAACGCAATAATAAAAAGAGTACAGGCCCGTTGTTAGTAGCAGAAATTCGAAACGCACATTTTCGAGTGATTAGATTAGTTCAATTAGAAGCATTCCCATCCGAGATAGAAAATTTAAAGAAAGGCAAAAGTATTTCGAAAAAGAGTAAACTAGTTAGCTTAAACCCATTCATCGACGAGAATGGGATTATAAGAGTCGGTAGCAGGTTAGAACACGCCCTGCTCAGGTACGAACAGAAGTACCCCATAATATTACCGCACAGACACCATATTACCGAACTCATAATTAGACAGGTACACATGAGACAATTCCATTCCGGGATGCAAGCCACCCTACAAACAATACGATTGAAGTATTGGCCTATATCTGACAAGAGCATTGTCAAACAAGTATTACATAAATGCATTCGCTGTTGCAAATACAACCCCAAGACACCACAATACCTAATGGGGAATTTACCCAAAAATAGAGTTACGTATACACGCCCATTTGAAGCCGTAGGAATCGATTACTGCGGACCCTTTCTTATTAAAGAGAAGAAATTTAGGAATCAAACAAAATTGAAATGTTACGTGGTCGTTTTTGTTTGTTTCGTAACAAAAGCAATACACTTAGAATTAGCCACCGATTTAACGACAGAATCGTGTCTTGGAGCACTTAAACGATTCCTTGCGAGAAGAGGAAAACCGCGTCATATTTATTCCGACAACGGCACTAATTTTGTAGGCGCGAAAAATGAAATTAGACAGACGCTTGACTTCTTACGGGCTAATGAATATAAAGACAAGATGCAGCGGTTCCTAACACAAGAAAACATTGAATGGCATCTGTCTCCTCCGCGCTCTCCGCATTTCGGAGGACTTTGGGAGGCTGCAGTACGGTCATTCAAAAGGCATTTGTACAAAACAATTGGTGACGCTATGTTCACGTACGAGGTATTCTATACGCTAATCGTTGAGATCGAAGCAATTTTAAATTCTCGTCCTTTGACACCTATATCCTCTGATCCCAACGATCTCCTAGCCCTATCGCCCAGCCATTTCCTTATAGGTGAGTCATTAGTGAGCCTACCGGAATACAATTTTGCTGATACGCCAATCAACAAGCTGTCACTCTGGCAGCATATCCAGAAAATCAAACTCCATTTTTGGAGAAGGTGGCAAACCGAATACTTGCAGGAGCTGCACACTAGGAGCAGATGGCACCTTGGAGACGGAGTAAGCCTTAAAGAAGGAACTCTGGCGACCATCCGAGATGACAACTGCCAACCCTTGCAATGGCAAATGGGACGGATAATTGCGTTACACCCAGGCGAAGATGGCGTGGTTCGCGTGGTCACCATCCAGACCCCGCACGGCATGTATAAACGTGCCTTGAAGAAGGTGGCACCGTTACCAATCGAAACTAACACCTAGTTCGTCGTTATATGTATCATATGTATTATTTATGTACAGTTGTAGGATAATTAGGATTAAGAGCCTCACACTTCAAACCCTCTCACACATTTACCCAGGTATATAACACATTTTCATTTGTATATTTCTGACTATCTTGTAGTTATATTGTAATGTTAGGTATATCTTGTATCGTGCGCCACAGTTAGGTTTATTGTATATCCAGACATACTTCAGTCGTTTTGCATAACACAACATATCACAAGTTAGAGAATAGGCATAGTATCCCGCCTCCGCGTAATAGTAATACAACACTACGTTAGAAGTTGATCGATTGCATCGATCAACGGGGGGGAGTATGTTCCGACCGATGCGGAACACCTTTCGCGATGATTCTCGAAGGTCCGTTTATGACACGGACGGGAGTGTTAGTTTATTTCGCGTTTAATGACCAAGAATATTTTAGAGTTTATTTTTCTATTACCGGCAATCTCATTTTCGCGATAGTAAAGTTTATTTCAGTCACTTCGAGTTTTTCCATTTATTTTAGCCTTTAGAATTTCGTTTCGTTTAATAACCGACCGAATCATAAACCTGGAGCGGCCGAAGGGTCGGCCAAACCATGTGCGTAACGGTTGTTGCCGGGCACGGTCAACCTGGAGGCATCCTTGGCTGCATCGCTGGGCCTTCGAGAGCACCCCCATGCGTCCCATTGCCCTCACCCCCGCTCTATCGGGGTTGGCAAAAGGGCGTTAACATTAGTCAAAATTGTAGCCTAAGATCCTGATTGGGGATACACACAACCAATCCACTCGCGTGGAAAATCTTCGAGGTTTCTTGCGCGGACCCCGGACACTCTCGAGCAGACTAAACCAAATTCGCAAAGAAGACACATCAACCATAGTCTCAATAAATAGTCGTGCTCACCAGAGCGTATACAAATCAAAGTTACAGTCCACATACATTTTTTGATAGGACTTCAGAATTAGCTGAAGATTCCTCCACGTCGTTTAATCGTCGCTAAAATAATTGTCGACGCTGCGACGCATAAACATTTTTGGTCCTTCGAGCCGGATAGTGGTTCCGGCTACAATATACAATATCGCGCTTGAGTTGGACAGTGGTTCCAGCTATTATACAATATTGTACTCCATTTGGGGAGACATTGGGCAAAGACCAGTGGACGCTAATCCAGGAAGCAGATTCAGAAGGCGAATTCACGAGAAACCAACGAGCCAACGACGTTCCTGCACGAACGACAGCAGCCAAGCGAAGCAGTGAGTGGTAGTTGGAGAATCATTCGACGACGGTGATCAATCGTCATACAAGAAGCAGAAGGAGTGCATCAGCATCCTATCAGCAGCTGAGCAGTATCGCATCTAGCGTCCAGAGACGGCAGTATCGCAATAATCTGTATCGGTGAGTGCTAACGATTCACTTTCCAATTAATCTATCCCATCCACTTGTTTCGATCTCGATAATATGACACCCTCGTTAGAATTAGCTGAAGATTCCTCCGTGTCGTTTAATCGTCGCTAAAATAATTGTCGACGCTGTGACGCATAAACAGCAACAGTCGCACATAAATAAATTCGTTATGCGAACTGATAAACGGTTTCAGCCGGTGCATACGGAGACGCATGAGTTCATCTCAAATTATTCATATTATTTATTTGTTTGTTTTATTCCGGCCTCGTGTAAGAAACAATGAAAACTAGACTAATCAAGGATGATCCGTGGCCGTTATGCGTTGAATGATGCGACGCAGTCAGTCGTTTAGACGGAAGTGTCTTTCCCGGCCTGGGAAAATGTTCCTGTCGTGCCCTTTGTTCAAAGGGGAAAGCGTCGGAATTTCCAACACTCGGCCAGCCTGCATCTCCGTCCTCAAGCGGTCTCCCATCACGTCCTGGTTTTCGTCTACGTTGCGTTCTGTAACAAGAAAATCAAAGCCTGACCTGAGTACCCAGCCAATTTATCGTTGTTGGCCCAAAGTTTTCAACCAAGCCCTTTCTCCAATTGACAAAAGATTCATCCTTCGACGATACTCCCCTTTTCCACCCTTTTTCGACGGCGTAGATCACTGGTCAACTGTCGACGATTCGAAACGGTGCCTCGTCGCGAGACATTCGTCGACGTCCTTGGGTTTTCCAATGACGTTGAGTGCTGCGGTCTTCTTTGTCGCACGACTGCAACTCTGCTTGTTGTCACGTTGAGTTGATACAATCACGTAATAGTGGCTGGGTCCTCACTATTACCGTGATATCGGGTTCATCGTCATCCGATAGTGGCTAGACATCACTATCGGCATGACGGCATGGTACAGTCATACAACGGTGGCAACAACATCACCGTTGTCATGACATTGAGATCATACCCCTTTCGATAGAGGCTAGACATGACTATCGTCAGAGTGGTACGGTACAATCACGTAATAGCGGCTAGATCATCGCTATTACCGCGATATCGAGATCGTCATCATCACCCGATAGTGGCTAGACATCACCATCGGCCTGATGGCTGAAACGGTCGCGCAATAGTGGTGAGGTGGTTGCGTTGAGAATATGAATGGGTATTCAATGAAATCGCAAAGTTCGCCTTGTACTCTTTATTATGAAGGTGTTGCTCGCTGGGTGTCGTGGCGAAGACTGATTTCCGTACAAAATAACTTTTTTCCTCGAACTCTTCGCAGTCGCCTAATTGGTTCAACCGATGCGTCGAAGTTAACCAATTAAGCATCTTGCAATTCCGAAGTCACCGCCTACTCCTTGCGCCCTTGACGCGCTTTTTGGGAAAGGCGATGTGACTCGGTGGAGGTAACTTTGTCGACGGAAGTTTGGCAATGTAGCGGATTTTCCTCCAGGTCCAGGCCTGGTGATGTCATCCGCCGAAGGTCGCTTGACCTGGTGTTGCAGCCCTTCGGAAATCCATGGTTTATGACATGTGCAATATGCCACTGAGGCCGTTCGAAACCTTCGACGAAAAACATACCGGCTAATAAAACGCGTAAGAAACGGCTTTCTCAAAAGTGGCCTTTTCGACTTTGCTTGTCGTAAACCATTTGCACGCCAAATGTTTCTTTTGTTGTGCGAGCTAGCCGCTACATTACCCCCTTGCCAGTGTAAACGTTATTCTAATTCTATTATACAGGGTGAGGCATTTTAAACAGGTCACCTGAATAACTCGCTTGTTTTTGAAGATAGGAGAAAATGCATTAGACCAAACTTATTTGGTATCGGGGGGCTCATAATCTGGTATTACCAATTTTTTTGTAGGTGGAGGCGTCAAGGAGATATGAAGGTCAACTTTGTTTTTTTAAATGGAACAGTATATTTTATTACTTACATTCTGATAGAGTGTTTCAAGGCGAATACAATGACCTATTATTAAGGTCATTCAAGGTCACCCAAAGTCAACTGCAATAGAAAATAAATTGTGTCAAAGCACTCTTCGAACACTTGGATACTTTGATACTGCTATTACAAGTGTTCAAAATGGCGACCTTGAACATGGATACATAGTCTAAATCGTTGCAATACTGATGACACTGCCTGGCAAATTTCATTTGTATCTATTACAGAGCAAGCTCTTCTTATACGTTCTTGCATGTCAAGTTTGGTAGTTGGTTTTTCGCGGTACACTTCTGCCTTTAATTTTCCCCACAAATAAAAATCGAGAGGTGTCAGGTCTGGGGATCGTGCCGGCCATTTGTTACTTCCTGATCGACCTACCCAAGAATCTCCAAATTTTCTATTTAGAAATTCTGTAACATTGCGTGCTGAATGAGCAGGGCATCCGTCTTGCTGGAACCACATGGATTGTCGTATGTCCAGTGAAGTGTCTTCTAACAATTCTGGCAAAACGTCTTCTAAGATTCTCAGGTACTTACTACTATTTAGCGTGCCATCAATAAAATATGGACCAATTATTTTATTATGAAGAAGACCGCACCAGACGTTTACAGACCAAGGTCTCTGTTTGTCGACTTCTCTCAACCATCGTGGATTATCTACCGACCAGTAGTGCATGTTGTGACGGTTAATTGCTCCATGGTTTGTAAATGTGGCCTCATCGGTAAATAACAATTTACTCAAGAACATTTCATCGTCTTGTAGTTTTTGTAAGCCCCATTCACAAAATTGTAAACGTTTTGTATAATCATTTTCAGTTAATTGTTGATGAAGTGATATGTGGAACGGATGAAATTTGTTAATGTGTAATATTCGTAAAATACTTCGTTGACTGATGCCACTTTCGCGTTCCAGTTGTCTTGTACTAACATGTGGATCTTGTATTACAGCTGCTACAATATTTATCGAGTTTCCATCATCAGTTGCTCGTTTGGCAAGATTACGTGTTTTGTTATCCACAGTTCCAGTTTCTTGGAACTTTTTTATAATGTTTGTAAAGACAGAAAGTGAAGGTCTATTATTACGATCGGGAAATCTTTCACTATACACACGTACCGCTTCCCTCATAATTCTATGACATTCACCATAAATAAGAACCATTTCTACTTTCTCTGCTATCGTGTAACGCATTTTAGAAAACTAAACACTTAGACTGAATAAATGTTACGAAGCTGTGCTCTAGTCGGTAGTAAAATTACCAATAATGTTTGAGGATACGGATAAGCGTACAATGTGATTGAATGTTGTTTATCTTTTGTGACCCGTGTCACGCAATACACACACGTGATACACAAGTATTCGAAATGTACTCTGACACAATTTATTTTCTATTGCAGTTGACTTTGGGTGACCTTGAATGACCTTAATAATAGGTCATTGTATTCGCCTTGAAACACTCTATCAGAATGTAAGTAATAAAATATACTGTTCCATTTAAAAAAACAAAGTTGACCTTCATATCTCCTTGACGCCTCCACCTACAAAAAAATTGGTAATACCAGATTATGAGCCCCCCGATACCAAATAAGTTTGGTCTAATGCATTTTCTCCTATCTTCAAAAACAAGCGAGTTATTCAGGTGACCTGTTTAAAATGCCTCACCCTGTATACAAT